TTTATTTTGACATTTTTCGGCGATGCTGTGGTCACAAGCTGAACAGCAATGCTGTTCGCTCATGCTGCGTGCGCCAGCCTTGGTTGCTCCAACAGTACTGTGGCTCTCACACCTGAGAATATTGCCCACGATTTAAAAAAATAAAGGCGTCTATTTACAAGAGCCCCGAGGAAGCTAATGTGAACCCAGTGTAGCCGCGGGCCATTTAAATCGTGCCTGGCACCCTATGGCGTATATATATACGCCATGCGCACTGTGGGACTTGTTACTCATGGCGTATATATACGCCATGCGCAGTTTAAGGGTTAACTGGAACTGATTGATAATGCAATAGTAAAGAGATGCAAGTATCTGTTCGATGCACAAAGAAGAATAGTAGTAAGAAGTGTCCACAAAGTGGATATACAGCTGGTGCCTTTATAGCATTGGTGAGTAATACATAACAAAAAATGAGTAATTATGTTATGCTCTATTTTGTTATATATCATATAAATACGTTGCCCAATGTTATTATCAGTTACTTTCAACAATGTCCAATTTTTTTTTTGGGGGGGAGGAGGGATTTTTTTCCTTTATTATTTGAATTTGTTTTAATTTACCTTTACATCCTGGAGAATGCATACTCAAAAATTTTGTAAACGGAGTTCAATGTCACACATCATATGACATTTTGCGCAGTTTATGGGGTAAAAAAAGTTTTTCCAGTCAAATTCATTAAAGAACTTGTTAATTAATTAAGTTCCTCGTAGTGTCCTCTCCTGAAATCAAATTTTTCAACTGCTTCACTTTCCTCATTCTCTTCTAGATTATAATCAGTTTTGTAAGTTATTTTCAAAAGATCATGATCATCACTTCAAAATAAGTAAGTTAGACTTCAAAGATCATTACCTTCCTACCTTGGGTAGGAAGTGCTGAATGTCAAATATCTTTCTTTCCTGGTGATTATAAAATCCAACATTGAAAGAAAATTCTTTCCTCTTTCTTATGGCTGGCTTAATGTGTTGACGTGTACATAGATTTGAATACCTCTTGGGCTTCCTGGGACTTCACAAAAACAGGAAACCTTTCTTTTTTATCGAACAGTTTTCTCGCATTTCAACGTACAGTACTTAGTACAGTACTGAATATTGTTTCATTTCATCTAAATTCTAATCTCGCTGTGCAATAATACTGTTTATTTCATGAGACTTCACACCATCTGAACATCATTCTCACCCGTTTCACAAAATCATTGTAGTACAGTATTGCATATATTTGCGTATACTGTACTGTATTTGTCTATAGTTCATAATTTTACATTAATCTTAGTTTTTGTACAATGAATAAAAAAAAACTAGTTGGTCCCTCATTAAATTAATATTATGTACATTACCTACTATATTCTTTATTAAAAATGTGTTAATCATTCTATCCTAGAACCTCATGTGTCTATCCAGCCTCCCTCAATCATAGTACTGTATAGTATTCATATTACTGTATAATGCTAACTTAGCCCCTCCTGCTGCATCAATATGTATGATTGTGCATGATCACCACACACTCATTCTTGTTCTATTTTAAAGTTAATCATATTGTTTCTTCAGGATTGTATTATCATGGTCGAAATGTCATACTTGAGAAAACCACACTGAAGTAAAAAGAGGAATGTAGTCAGGTTCCCATTTAGTTTACCCCCTATATTTTCAAATGAGCGGGTTTCTCAAATACAGTACAATTATCCACATATATTCTACAACTCTTACAGCCAGCCAAAATTCCATTATAAAAATGGGAGCTGGCTGAATATATGGTAGCCATAGTTTAGAAATTATACTGTATTATATAATAGGCTTGCTAATGGGCATTAATTAAAAACACTTGTCTTTGAAAATACCAGAAATATGTTTGTTTCCTCTTGTCACATTTCTTTCTCCTGCTTGGTGAAACCTAGCTACATTTGGGACAAATGTAATTAACATGTCAATTTTTTCTTTTCTACTTCTTTTTACCTTTCATCAGTACAATCTTAGAATGCCTTTACTAGTATATACAACCACTACAGTTTTTTGTCAGAGGAAATCCAAGAAATCCCCATTTTGGGCAGCATATAGTTTATTACCATTGTGACTTGTGTATATACAGAGATTCTGCTGCTTCCCATTAACTGTATGGCTCAGTCAGCCAGTGGTTTGAAATGTCTAAGATTGTCCTGATGTAGCTCCTTGTTAACCAGCCACAATGTGGAGACCCTCAGCCTTCCTACTATGGCTACGAATGGGAATGACAGCCTTCACTTTGTGTCCGAGCACACTCCCTTGGGTCTTCTACCACGAAGACGACCTACCTCTGAAGAGGCTGTTTATGAATCCCTCTGTTATGTGACACTCAAATCTAAGGAGGTACTAGATTATTCTGATAGGTCTTTTTCCATTGCATATGATTGCTTAGTGTCCTGTGCCTTTGGTAGTAGTGTGTTTTTGGAGATTGCATGTATTACCAGTTTCAGGTTCACACTTGGATGTATTTGAGATTGTGTTGTTTTGGTATTTTTGACTTGAGTATTGTACGATGTTCAGTGTATATTTAGTAACGGTTTACATTATATTGCTATTTACTATTAGTGCTGTCTTCCCTACTGTAACTAATTGTGGTGTTTCTGTTCTGGCTTGTAACTCTTCCTTTTTTTTTTGCTTAATCTCATTTCTGTAATTTGAGTAAAATGTTATGTATACATATGTGATAGTAAAGTATTTTGATAATGATTTAGGATTGCTGTATGGGATATGATTTTACAAGGCTTAATTGCTTACATTTGGGAATGTATGTATGTAAGGAAAGATGTGTCTATCAAAAGTAGCTTTTTTTTTTTTTCCTGCAGAAAGGCCCATATGTTGTTGAATAAAAGATAGTCTGAATCTCAGTCCTTTTTTTCTTGATGGTATATGATTTTGTAATATTATAAGCCGAGTGTGGGGTAGCAATTAATATTTTGTGCAGGTATATTGTACAGTACTTTACATTCAAGACGTTTAGGTGATTGGGTTTGTTGTTTGAGATAGATTAATTATATCCAAATAATGATTTGGTTGGTCATATTCCAGTCATTCTGTAATAAAGTGAAACTTTTAGACCCTGGTAGTAGGTTTCTTCTGCAACTTGATTCATTGTTGATGTTTTTTAAGGGAATTGTGCAAAATCTGATCTCGACAAATCTGATCTCACTATTAAAGGTAGTTTACTTAAAATGATGAACCATTATTTTCTAATTCCATATATTTGCATTTTTTTTTCACATTACACCTAATACATTTACGTTAATAGCTCTACTATAGACCTATAGCTACCTTTTGGATCCTATCAGAATAATGAATATTCTGTTTAGCAGTTGTCCAAAACAAAAACAATTTTTTAAAATAACTTCTGTACTTTGGGTTCATCCCAATGAGATGCCTTACTTTAAAGGATTACTTTTATTGACAATTTCCAAATTTATTCGTATCTGATCAACTTTGCCGTGTAATAATCATGAATCTTTTTATTAAAAACTGAATATTTCGGAATTATTTGGCAGGATGCAATATGGTTAAATAAAAACTGCTGTAATTTGCTTTGGAACCTATTGTAGACATTCAAGTCTGCGAGGTACTGTAAATGTGCAAGCCTGGGGGGCTATTGTAGATGTGCGAGCCTGGGGGCTATTGTAGATGTGCAATCCTGGGGGGGCTACTGTAGGTGTGCGAGCCTGGGGGGGCTATTGTAGATGTGCGAGCCTGGGGGAGCTACTGTAGGTGTGCAAGCCTGGAGGGGCTACTGTAGGTGTGCAAGCCTGGAGGGGCTATTGTAGATGTGCAATCCTGGGGGGGGCTATTGTAGGTGTGGGAGCCTGGGGGGGGCTACTGTAGGTGTGGGAGCCTGGGTGGGGGGGGGCTACTGTAGGTGTGGAGCCTGGGGGGGGCTACTGTAGGTGTGGGAGCCTGGGGGGCTACTGTAGGTGTGGGAGCCTGGGGGGGCTACTGTAGGTGTGGGAGCCTGGGGGGTGGCTACTGTAGGTGTGGGAGCCTGGGGGGGGCTACTGTAGGTGTGTGAGCCTGGGGGGGGCTACTGTAGGTGTGGGAGCCTGGGGAGGGGCCTACTTTAGGTGTGGGAGCCTGGGGGGGGGGGCTACTGTAGGTGTGGGAGCCTGGGGGCCTGGGGGGGGGCTACTGTAGATGTGGGAGCCTGGGGAGTTATGGTAGATGGGCAAACCTGGGGGCTACTTTAGGTCCCTATCAACTCTTCCAACCATTTTTCGATAAACAGTTTGCTTGTTTGGGGTAGGTTTGCAAGCATTTGTCCATTTGGAAGGGGGTTATATAAACATTGTTTGAGACTGAATCTTTCGAATGCAGGGTCGGTGAAATTTTCCCCTATAATTCTTTCTCTGTAACCTCCTAAGATTGATTTGATAAAGTTAATCTTAGAATATAATAGTTTTGAAGTTTATTATTCTTCACCTGTTATGTGAGACTATATACTACTGTCTTCTCTTGCACAGTCATCATTCAAGGAGAGTCTGTGAAGATATCTTTTGGGTGATGGCTAGTGTTTTGTTATATTTCTGGTCCTGTACCTTTAGTGGGGAATTTTAATATGTGTTTAGTTTGTAACTTAATTGTCAAAACTGTACTTAGTCTGTTATGCATCCCCTACACTCAAGTTTTAGTATTGTGCCTATACTGTACCTGAATAGAGAAAAGTTTTGAAAGGAAGGAAGAGATTAGCAGCAAATGCATTTTATTTCTGGCAAACATGGGTTGGCTTGCTTAATATACGCATGTATGGTGCAGTCATTTTGGATTGCTACAGTATACACGTATCTGTGCTAGAAGTGTTATTTATGGGTTGTATTAAGGGAAAGCAAAGAGTATCTTAGCAACGTATCTGTAACTAGAAATGCATTCACTTCTAGCGTATGATTAGTGTGCCTGTTGTGGTGTAGAAGGATGGTGTGCCCACTATTCATGTTTTATTTTGATGTGCAGTGGGCCAGAAGGTGATCTCATGAACCCGAATATGACGACATTTGAAGAGGAAGATGACGACTCTTTCAAAGTTGAGAAAATATATGCAGAACTCAAACTCTGCTCTTCACACCCAATACAGGTAGGTCGATCATAAAACCAGATATTGATGGTGATTGGAAGACACAGCAGAAGAGAGTACTAATTATATACTATATATATCGAGGTTTAGTTAAAGATTCATGCAAAGAAGAAAAGGAGGCAAGCCAGTGAGTTGTTAAATCAAAGGGGAAAACCTTTAAACTAATGAAATTAAAACATATTGGAATTAGTTTTGCTGGGTTGCCTACACTTATAGGGCCCTGAAACAGGTTTTCAATTTATGTATTTTTACTCTGGCTTATTTTTTAATGGTTTACATATTGTCAAGATAAAGGTCCATGTTTTTAATTAGTTATTTGAGAAACAATGAGTTTTGTAATACATTTGCATGTAAACGTATAATTAGTGGGTATGTTAGACATAAAGTCGAAAGTACTGTATTCATAAGTTTGCCAAGTTAATGATTTTAAAAATAAATTAATGTTGTATAAACTTTTCCAGAAATTTAATTATTTTTGCTGATCTGAACTAAATACAGTAGTTAATATTCTACATCCAATTGGGGCAAAATACAGGGGGTTACACAGCAAATTCACAATCTGAAGGGCTAAGATTCATCCCTGTCAGCATTGCTTTCAGTGCCAATAGTATGTGAAATATCTAGTAATTTGCACTTACAAAGGAACTGGCAAAATGCAAGAATGCATTTATCAGCCTGTCCAGTCAGCAGTTGATAAAGAATACCTGCAGTATACTTGGAGTGTGTTTGAGAGTTCTTCCTAAACTGTGCTGGTCCATGTCTTACGTTTGATTTGGTCCTTGTCCTTCTTCCTCTTTTTGCCTCTGTTTTCCCTAGGCTGTTTTCTCTTAGGTCACCTCTGTTTTCCCTTAGGTCCTTGGTTCTATTCAGCTAGTCATTTGACTGAATGACTGAACAGAACCAAGGACAGTGGTTCAGTCTCAGCTGTTCAATCATTTGTTTTGCAACAAGATTCAGTCCCTGCTGCTCAGGAAAGAGTTTTTGGGTTTTTTGGTTGGCTTCCCTCTCCCTTCCACCTGTGTCACCTGCTCTACTTGAACCCTTGTCTCTGGCTAGTGGCGGAGAGTCCCTGGGTCACTCATCATTGGTTGGAGTCTCTGTGTGGGAGTCTGAACTTTGCCTACATGGTACATACACCAGGAAGAGTTTGGCCTAGAGTCCTGTGTTGTTTTCTTTGGTTCAGTTCCTTTCAGTACCACTGGAACTATAAGATGCGCTTACTGTAGACCCTTCAACTGTTTCTGGTTCACCAGATTCCTCTGGGCTTTTTGGAGTTCTGTACCATGACACTTATCTTTCCCTGTGCTCAATCTCTTCGTGGACGCCTCAGCCTTAGGTTGGTGGTTTGTGACTAACACTTGCACAGCCACTCGGGGCTCTTGGGTGGCTCTATTGTCAGGTGCACAGCATGATGCAAGAGTTTATGGCAGTCTGGCTTGCTCCATGGTGGCTTCCTTTTCCTGTAGGCTCCGTGGTCAAACTCCACTTCGGCTGCTCCCTGGTGGTTCATTGCATGAACAATTAGGCCTCTTCCTTTGTAGGGGTAGATTCTATGGGTAGCTCATCTTCTATATTCTTTGGGGTTTGGGTCTCCATTTGGTTCACGTTTGGGGCATATCCAATGGTTTGGAGGATGGTCTGTCAGTTTTGCCCCATCTCCACAGTGGACCAGCGATGACACATCCTTCCATTGGCTATGCAGGACATTCGATTTTGCATAGGTGGCATAATCCAACTCTTAATGTTGGCAAGGAATTGGCAGCTTCCAGTTTACTTGGCCCCATTCCCTGATTGAGGCTCCTGGCATGGGTGCCTTTTGGCTTGACTGGGGTAGGTGATAGTTTCTTATCATGCTGGTTCAGCTGTTGCTCCAGGTTGTATCTAGACTGGAGACGTTATCCAGCAGGGTTCACCTGTTGGCGCTCTTTTGGCTAGCCCAGCCATGATTTCCAGCTCATTCCCCCATGTCTAAATTTGTCATTTTGTGCGGCTCCATCTCTTTCAATGGATCAACCAAGAGATGTTTCTCGATGGTTTGAGGCTTCCTGGCTCAATTTACCTCAAAAAAATACATGTTTGAAGATTTTGACTCTTGTACACATGTGGCTTTCATTGGGGTAACAGTTTGACATTTCTTTGCTTTCCTTTAGATCTTTTTGCTCTTTATTGCATATCCTCGATTTGTCACAGTGGTTCTCTCATTTTTGTCTCGTTGATTGAGTCATTGTCCTCATTTGGCATTAGACCATTGCAAATCGGCATTGAATGTAATAAAATGATTCTTACTTGTTGGTTCTTGGTGGCTCCTTGAATCTCCTCCTTTTCAGGGACTTCTGTTTCTCTATTTTCCTTGATAAATGACTTAAGATCAAGGATAGAGGATCGAGGAGAAAGTCCTTTAGTGGTACACAGATGAACTAAGTGAACTGCTTAACAAACTGCTCTCATTTTCTATGCTTTACCTTGTTGATTTGATGTTTTGGCTTGCCCACCTTTCTGGTGGGTTTTTCTTGATTAAAGTGATATAGTATCCCCTGTTTCTTGCACCTTTTAGAGGGGACCAGGTACATTTACCTGGTTGATGGGGTTCTGGGAGTTCTTCTACTCCCCAAGCCCAGCCCGAGGCCAGGCTTGACTTGAGAGTTTGGTCCACTAGGCTGAGGATTTGCAATGATTCAAAAGGGCCTGGCATGGATTGAATTGGGTAAATGGGTACCACTATCCAGGTAGCTAGCTCAAGGAGTTACCAGGGACTCTCTGGGGAAAAAAAAAGTGTTATTTCATTCAATGCTAGTTTGTCATCTATTTTGCACCCTTTAGCTCAGGCAGTTTGTAACTGATCATGGCATTCTCCTGCCTTGTACATCTCATGACCTGCTGGGTTCTTGACAGCCTCTATCACTGATTAAATGATTAAAAGACCTGATTCTTTTCTGCTTCTGATTTTTCCTGGTTTTGGTGGGTAGACAGTTGATAATTACCAAAGGGACTGGGACTCTTAATTGTGAAATTTCTCCAGTCTGATTCATTGCCTATTATCACTGTTATCTTTTTTGCTAACTTTGCTAACTTTTGCAAATTTGCTACCTTTCTGTTAGCAAATCTATCATCCATACTAGTAGTCTCCCTGTCACCTCTCGTGTATTCCAACTTCCTGAGGTCTCTTGTTACTTTATCGAAAACCATCTTTAAGTCCTAATAGATGCTGTATACCACAACCATCTCTCTCTCTCTCTCTCTCCAAGATCTTTGTGGTCCCATTATAAAAAAAGGTAAGTTTTTTATGCAAAACCTGCAGGTTCGAAAACCAAGTCATACCTAGTACAGTATGTATATATATATTTTTAATGTTATTTTTTCAAGTACAGTATATAATTTTATTGCTTTGCTGGGTAAAGATATTGATCTACAATATAGTTTAATGGGCATTCTCTGTAGTTGTTTTTATAAAATATGGTTATTTGCTTTTTTTTTTAATTTGTTTCCTCTTTGTAAAAATTATTGAAAAATAATAATGGGTTGCTAAGCTCGTAGGTGCATCCACTCAGGACCCAAGGTAACACTCCATCTGACTGAGCTGCTTTGTTTATGCTTAGATAACTTGAGGAATTTTTTGTTTTTGTTTACATCAACTCTAGGTGTCTATAAAGACACATCTAGGTGTTAAAGTTTTAGTCCAATATCTGTAGTGTGTGTGTGGGGTGCTTTGAGATACCTCCCTTTTATGAACACACTTCAACTCTTCGTTGACTGCATTTCATTGACCCTAAAATCTTTAGGGCTGCACATTTTCCCTCTATGTGAATTTGTCACACGTTTATTTAACCTCTGGATTTTATCTTTCACATGTCATTCACTTTTAATTAATTTATAAAATAGGTTGGGTTCTGTTTTTCATTTGTTCGCTATCACTTTCTCAAAAGTTTTTCACCCTTCTTTCTTGCTACCATGTAAATAGATGGATGGAAAGCAACATCAAGCCAGAAATGCTGCACTGCATCATGATTGTATTGAAAAGCAGATGTCATTATTATCTGACATTATTAGTAATATGTGTAGGTAAGAGTTTTACCATTAACAAGCTAAATTTAATAATGTAAATTGTAAGTCAACTGGATTGCTATAAAGATACGACTAATAATGGCTGAGCTAGCCTGCTCATTAGCTCTGGAGCTAAAGGCTCTGGTACAGCATGGCCTTCCATTTATATTAGGTCCTTGTACTTGAGCAACCTACCAGGTTTGTGGTCTTCCTAGAGGGTTCTCCATTGGGATTTGGTTTCTGTAGTGGGATCCTGTTGTCTGCTGCTGGAGTCTTGGTGGGTTCTTCTTAGTTTGTTATAGCCTACTAGTTATGTGGTGGTGTCTGCTGCCTGTAGCCATTGCTGGCTTTGCTTGGATGGCATAGTATGTGCCTCTGTTTTTTTTATTACATTTCTGGGCCACTTGAAGGCCTTTTTGTTTCCTTGTGTCTTTGCTATTCTCCAGGTTTGGGGGTTTATTGCAGTCTAACATGGCTTTGGCTGCTAATTCTATATTGAATGTCCCAAATCTTAGCTCTGTTTGAATGGCACTTGTGCAGTGATGTGCCACTGATGATCATCTTCCCTGAACCCTAGTGTCCAGCTTACTTCACCCACAGTTCAGTCTAATCTTTGTTGTAATAATAGGTTGCTTTTCAGCAGAATTGTTCTGTCTGAGGCACTGTTATGAAGAGGCTACCGAGATGGCCAACTCAGAAATAGAGCATTCAGTCTAATGTAATACTACTGAGTTGCCTCTTTATAGCTTTCTTTACCAGTCTTGCTGTCCCTTCTTTACCCATGGGATTTGGATTTGGAGTGGTTACTGCTGCCTCATGAGTGGCCTGGGCTGCCACCTGGTGGCAGGCAAGTTTGAGTGAGGATTGTTTTCCCATTGTCAACTATCATTTGCCTTGTTAGTTTCATTTCTTAGGAGTAATGATTGGTTTTCTTTCTCTTGCCACATATTTGGGTCCTT